ATGCGCAAGCTGTAGATCGCCGTGCTGTTATTTACTTTTGCGCTGATAGCTCAAAGATTTTATGGAAATTCAATCGCGATTAAATTCACTCTCCACCGCTAGATGGCGAGTGCCTTCAGCTGTAACTCTGCAAGTAGTAAAGTAAAAGAGAGAGGATATAAGCTCATACTCTCTGCATATAGATTAGGTTGGCCTCGCATACCTAATCGTCAAAAAGGTATGAGAGGCTGAGGTTAGCTGGATTCCATAGAATCGTTGAGTTAACTCATATGAATTTCCCCAAAAAATTTCCCCCTCCTTTTATTTTCATACAAAAAGGCATGAGTATCTCAGGTTATCGAGGTTCCGAAGAACCGTTGCGTTGAATTCTTTAATTTCCCCAAAAAATTTTGCCCTCCTTTTATTTTTATAGAAAAAGGCATGAGTATCTCAGGTTAGCGAGGTTCCGAAGAACCGTTTCATTGAACTTTTTTTTCTCGCATACAATTTTGCCCTCCTTTTATTTTCCTACAAAAAGGCATGAGTATCTCAGGTTAGCGAGGTTCGGAAGAACCGTTTCATTGAACTTTTTTTTCTCGCATACAATTTTGCCCTCCTTTTATTTTCCTACAAAAAGGCATGAGTATCTCAGGTTAGCGAGGTTCCGAAGAACCGTTGCGTTGAATTCTTTAATTTCCCCACAAAATTTCGCCCTCCTTTTATTTTTATACAAAAAGATATGAGTATTTCACGTTATAATTGTTTATATTATAAATATTGATAGAAGAGGTGTTACACGTAGTAAATTTACTCTCGAAATGTATTAAAAAAATTTTTTTCATTCATTTTTGCACGTTTTTAGCAATGAAAAATGTACTTGAAGAAGTGGTACAAAAAAAAAAGGATTGTGCGCCGTTGACGAAATCTCGGGAACTAATGAACCGATCCTTACGAAATATTTACCAGACATTCTTTACGACTATAGCTATTGTATGGATCGAACGATTTTCGATTTTTGCAAAATTGACAAAATGGCGGATATTTTTCCAAAAACAACAAAAAATCGCGCGTTTATTCACGAATTTCTAGCAAATAAAAATACTTAAAATCAAAATTTTGAAAAACCCTTAATTCATACAATAGCTATAGTCGTAAAGAATGTCTGGTAAAAATTTCGTAAGGATCGGTTCATTAGTTTTCGAGATTTCATCAACGTGCCGTTGAAAAACCTTGTTTAGAGAAAAACGCGATTTAAGATTTTTTTAGCATTTGAGCGCGCTGAAATGACAAAGTAAAATTCGACTAATAATACAGTTAGACCGCTTCAATCTTTATGCATTTTTAATAAGATACTTCTGTATACATATACTTTTCAAAAATGTAATAAAAAAAAAATCAATTTTTTGAAAATTCTAAAGGTAGTAGATCCCTTAGCTTGTTGTAATTTTTAATTAATTATTTTAAATGCAGATTTTTACGCTTCCTCTACTTTCATACACAATGTAATATTTGTTGAAAGTGTACCCATTGTCCAACTGCTCGATAGACTGATTGTCAGTGAAAATAAGTGGAGAAGAATCTGAAATATAAATATATTTTTGAAGCATCAAACTGCTGCTGTTCGCGTAAGTCAAAGTATATAGTTTTGAAACAATGTCACTAATTCAAATTAAATTGAAGACCTTTAATTCGAATCGAGAATACATTTTTTGCATTCCTTTCGCCTATATTTGCGCTCATATGCACACGGTCCAATACTATACGATTATTATTATTATTGCTATCATGGCACCTGCAGCTTATCAATTTTTAGGCGACGCGCTCGACTCGTTACTATACATTAATATATAGGCGAGCTTTTTTCTTATCGAACACAGAGTGCATAATACGTAGCACGCATTTTGCATAATAGCTCTCACGGACCTCCCGATAAGCTCGCGCGCCGAAATCATAATAAGAATAATTGTGAAAAGTCAAAGGACCATATGCGCTGAACTGCATACAATATAGCGTGAAAAAATTTGCACAAATGATTACGCCGAGCTCGCCGGAGTATGAAAAACACGCGTAGCGCGCACAAAACACGAACTTATCACCGGCCATTATACATTTTAATTTTAAATATATATATAGCACGTAGGGATGCATTATGTAATATACAGCAGCAGCAGCAGTGGTATGAACTCTCTCACACTGCTTCGAGTCAATTGACTGTCGAGAGGACCAAAAGGGGGGCATACATAGGCAAAAAGCTCTCTCTCTCTCTATCTCTCGCTCTCTTTTTGCCATACACGCGAAACATCGAGAGAGCGAGAGAGAGAGAGAAATCAAACGTCGACAATTCGGCTGGTCCATCCCCTATCTCGCAGCTTGCATAAAAGCTCGCGCGCGTGTGCTGCAGCTCGTATCGTAACTGCTATATGCGTTTTTCACTCTCGGCCCGGCTTGCACCGCTGCTGCCGCTGCTATATGTAACAGCACATCAGAAAGATAGAGACTCGCATGCAGCCCGCAGAGCAGCAGCCCGGCCGAATCGCAGAATTTTTCGTGGCACAAAAGCCCGCCGCTCGCACAGTCCGGAGTTCTTTGTTCGTTGGAGAATTATCAACGCGACGCACAATCGTCCTCTCTCTCTCTCTCTCTCGTTTGGTGCACAAAGAATCGGCTGCTGCTGCAGAGAGAGGCTGACTCTCTTTTCACTCGGGGGCGCGCAAATGCGAATTGCTTCGCACACAGAAAATCTCGATTCCGCGTATAAAAGCTGCGACGCTACTCTCGAAAATGCATATAGTCTCTCTCTCTCACTCCATACATCGCCTGCACAGACCGCCTATCTCGTCTCGTTATATATACGCACGTGTGTGCAGTGCACAGAGAGAGAGAGAGACTGTTCAATGAGCTTCGCGATTCTTTTCACTGAAAGCTATCGGCGCGGCAGCCTCGCGCGCGCGCGCGAATGATCTGTCTCTATATAAACCTGCACCTATATAGCAGCAGCAGCAGCAGCTGCCAACGACAAACGTATATGCGCCCCAATCGCCGTTATATATTCGTTATATATTTTCTCGCGCGATCGAGCTGCACCGAAAAATATATATATAATAATATGCGCGCGTCAATGACAGCTCGAACTAATTTTTATGCTATGCAAATTCGGCCCTAATACACGTGTATATTATGCATTATCATAAGCAACAGATGGGTGACGTGTGTACGCGCGCGAGACTCTCGAACTTGAGCAGAGCTCGCTCACGTGATCTCCCGCAGTAATTTACCTGGGCCGTGCATATCCGATTTATTCAAATGTGCGGCGTGCGGCACTCCGACTTTTTCGCTCGATCCTTTCGTTGTTGTACTCGTGTAAAGTATCTCTATAACGCGGAGCTGCGAATTCGGGGCAGGAGCATAGATCGGCCGTGTTTTTAAATCGAGAGCTTTTTAAGCTAATGCAGCGATAATGTCGAAGGAAGCGGCTCATTATACAGCTCGAGCCTTCATAGCCGTCAAATCATACAGCAATTAAGCAATTTTAATTCACGCGGCTGGCATGTATGAACGTTTGAACGCGCGTAGGGCCAAAGGCAAAAGCTCGCCAATATATGTGTGCGTGCACGCACAAGGCAAGAACTCATCTCAATCCCCTGTATATACGTAAAGCAAACTACATTATATATAAGTACCGATCGGTGCCTGCGCACAGCAGGCAAAGCAGCAGCATCAGCCACAGAAACGGCGGCAAAGAATCTCAATACGAAATACGATAAGTAGCTGGAATCCCACGCTATATATATTGTAAGCTGCAGCAGCATTTCATCTCGCGTATATATATATGTGTATACGCGAGCGAGCGAGAGCCCAAGAAGAAGAAGAAGAAGAAGAAGCGATATATACCTACGTTTACGCGGACAGTTCGCGTGAGCATTGCTCACTGCCGTGTGATACTCTTACTCCTTTTTTTCTCTCTCTGTCTTGGATTGGCTTACCCCCTCTTTCTCTCTCTATCTCTTTCTATCTCTCGTCGAGCTACCATATATATATATGTGCAATGCGAGAAAGAGAGAGAGAGAGAGAACATTATATATACACATGTGTGTGCGAAGCCGAGCATGGCCTCCTCGTGTCACGGCCTTTACAATCCTTGCTTAAAATCACTGCTTTACTCCTTGTTTTCTTTTTTGCAGACTTTTTACTCTTATTCGTTCCTCTTTTCCCCGCGAGCGCGACTTCTCTCTCTCTTTCTTCGATTCTCCTTTCGCTTCTTTCTTTCCTCCGCTTACGCCTCTCTCTCGTTCGAATACCTATAGGGTACTACGCGTGTCAATCGATCCACCGCTTTAATTGACAGGACTGCCAGGGAAGATGTTTTATTACGCGTTTGTTTAATTGCAGTGCGTCGAGCCCGAGAGGCCCGCATGTATATATATAGTTTCTCGTTTTACAATTTCTTTTATAATCCGCCGCCGGTGCTGCAAATCGAGTTTATATAGAGTGCGTATATAGCGTATGTATATCATACACTCGTGTATATATCAGCGAGCGCCGATCTGCCGATTTATTCCTCGTTTTCGATTTACGAGGCACTTTTAAGCTCCGAGTGTTCTTTTGGGCGAAAAATTACTTAATTTTTATAAATCGAAAAATTTTAATGTTTCGATTGACCAACCAAAAAGTTTCGAATGACCAACGCCCAATAACTCATACGTGTGTATTGCAGCAGCTTACACAGTTCAACGAATTAACAAAAAAAAGACGACAAAAACTCATCTTTTTTTCTGTACACATCTCCAAAGAGCATATTATACGAATGCAATGCGTCAAAAAAAGTGAGATAGAAAGGAAGGAGAGAGAAGCGCACTTTACATGCATAACCGCGTATTATGCCTTTATTCAAATTAGTTTAATTATACTACAATCCTTGTTTGAGTAATTATAAAGTAGTACATCGCCTTTCGATGGACTTCACCACGAATATTCAGAACAAAAAACGATCTTCTCATAACTTCGTGATGATACCGCTCATTATTGTTTTTCGTGTGGACTAGACCACTGAAAATTGACATAACCCTAAACAGGAAACTATAATTTTTTACACTAAGTTAATTATTTTAATAAACGTAAAATGGTCAGGAATCGTAGCAGGAGTCATAACAGGAGTCGTAATAGGAGTCGTAGCAGGAGTCGACGTCAACATCATCATTCGAGTAGACATCAGGAGAGCGGCGAGAGACGCAGATCTCGTACCCGATCTCGATCGAGGACTCGTCGGTCAAGATATAGTAGAGCTTCTTCCTATAGCAGCTACGCAAGCCGAGGCTCTAGGCGCAATCACGACAAATACAGCCGACACGATCGCTATCACGATTCTGATGAACGGAATCATCGGAGGAGCCGTCATCGCCGCGATCTTTCAACCGAGTCGGATACGTCGTCGTATACTCCCCCACGTAGCATCTCGACAGAGAGGGGGGAAATTCAACAAGATTCTTCTGCGGCTACTGCCGGTGTAAGCGGTGATCGCAATAACCTAAAACAGTCAGGAGACAGCTCGTTAAGCACGGAAGGTAAGCGGAATTACAGATCCCGTCCGGGAGGCGGGACTGATCAAATGAAGCCTAAAGATCCTGTCCGGGAGGCAGGACATTTTAGAGCTACTGCCTAAAGATTCTGTCCGAGAGGCAGGACAATTTAGAGCACACTCCAGTGTCATCAAAACCAAAATTGGTTACAGCTGCAAACGCAAGCTCGGCCCTGTCGGTGAAGCACAGTGACTGTAATGCGGCTGCTACCGGCGATCATCATCATCAGACTGCTGCTACTGCTGTTGTTGCTGCTGCGGAAATTATTGAGCTTGATGCAGATGCACTGGAGGTACTGGGCGTCGACCCATCAAAGCCACAACCAGCGAAAAATTCGCTCAGAGAAGAGCTTATAGTAAGATGGAAAAATTTAATCGTAAATGGACTAGAACATAAGTTATCTGATAGCCTTTTGGAAAAATATGAGCCCGTACCAGAGTTAAAAGCTCAAAGGCTTAACGAGGAATTTCTATGCTCGTTAAGTGAGAAACACAGGAAACGCGATTCGTATTTTGTCAACACTCAAAATACAGCGGCGTCTGCGTTGTCTGCCATAGGTATTGTCATTTCATCGCTTCTATCCGATACGTCGATCAAAAATCGAAAATCTATGCTTGAGACATTATACGATGCTGGAAGAATTGTTTCACAGCTACATTTCAATCAATTGTGCGGAAGGAAAGCTTGTATTTTTCCATTGGTAAAGAAAAACTTAAGGCACGTTTTTGAAAATTTGAAATCCGATTCGTATCTCTTTGGCAAAGACCTTGCTCTGGAGGTTAAAAAATCAATGGGAGACGCGAAGAATTTTCTCTTTATTAAAGAAAATGATTTTAGTCAACAAAAATTTAATAATAAAAAATTTAATAGCTTTCGGCCTTCGGTCAAGCGGAATACCAATTCGAAAGAATCCAAGCCATTTCGAAAGTTTCCGAATGCAAAGAACAAATTTTCAAAAACTCCGCAAGCTCCGTATCGTCAGCAACAAAGACGTTAACAGGAATTAAAACAGCCGGTCGACTTTCAAAATTCTTTGATGAGTGGCATCACTTTACGAATGATCCGTTTGTACTAAATTGTGTTAAAGGATTCAATGTTATGTTAGATTATCCTATCACTCGAACGAATTTTCATAAGGAGCGTACTAAATCGTCGACTGAGATTGTTAAGACCATTGTTGAGCTAGAACGATTGTTATGTATCGGTGCGATTGAACCTTGTAACCATGTAAAGGGAGAGTTCATTTCGTCATATTTTTTGAAGGAAAAACCGGATGGTTCAAGTAGATTTATTCTTAACTTAACGCAATTCAATAAGCACTTGAAATCACATCATTTCAAGATGGAAGATATACGTGCTGCATGTAATATTTTAAATCGTGGAGATTTTATGTGTACTGTTGATTTAAAGGATGCTTTCCTTCTTGTTCCTTTATCGGAGAACAGTAAAAAATTTTTTCGTTTTGAGTTCAATGGTAACCTTTTTCAATTCACTACTTTACCATTCGGTTTTTGCTTAAGTCCTTTTATTTTTACCAAGTTATTAAAACCTGTTTTTGCGCATTTACGATCGAAAGGTTATCGATCAAATGTTTACCTTGATGACATGTTATTATATGGTAATTCTTTCGACGACTGTGTGAAAAATTTGAATGTAACAATGAAATTGTTAACAAAACTTGGATTTGTTATTAATCATGAGAAGAGTAGTTTGATTCCTTCTACACGTTGTAAATTCTTAGGCTTTATCATTGACTCTATCAAATATAGTGTTGAACTAACTGAGAAAAGAAAGTTGGGCATTATACAGAAGCTTGATGAATTTAATTATAATAAAAAATACAAAATTCGCGACTATGCCCAACTTCAAGGTCTCCTAGTTGCAGCATTCTCTGGTGTGGAATATGGTATGCTGTATACAAAAAATTTTGAGATTGATAAGACATCTGCGTTGAGAGAAAATGGCGGTAACTTCGATAAGAAAATGTGTGTGTCGCGTGCTACGATAGAGGACTTAGAGTGGTGGAAGCGTAACATCTCAATAAGTTCCAAGCGTATTCGAGTTTTTAAATTTGATTTAGTGATTTTTACTGATGCTTCTTTATCTGGCTGGGGAGCGTCATGTAATGGGGAAAATATTCACGGATTTTGGACAGAGGAGGAAAAGTTGCACTCGATAAATTATTTAGAATTACTTGCTGTCTTCTTAGCTCTTAAATCTTTCGCTCGTTCGAAATCTAATTGCGAGATATTATTGAGAATAGATAATACTACGGCGGTTTCATATGTCAACCGTATGGGCGGCTCGCGGCATTTAAAATATAATAAGTTAACGCGTGATATTTGGCAATGGTGTGAGGTGAGATCATTATGGCTGTACGCATCTTATATTCCGGGCCGTGATAATACACAAGCGGACGCTCAGTCGCGTATTAAAAACATTGACACTGAGTGGGAGCTAGCAAATTATGCGTACAGTCGGATTGTTCTCCATTTTGGTAAACCGGATGTGGACTTATTCGCGAGTAGGACTAACTCAAAATGTACGCGTTATTGCTCATGGTATAGGGATCCGGAAGCTGAGTCTATCGATGCATTGACAATTTCTTGGAAAGACATATATTTTTACGCTTTTCCCCCTTTTGCTACGATCGCCAAAGTTTTAAAAAAGATCATCCATGATAAAGCTCACGGTATTGTTGTAGTGCCTTATTGGCCTTCGCAAACCTGGTTCCCAATTTTCAAAAAATTGTTAATTCACGAACCTTTGTTTTTCCAACCTAACAAAAACTTATTATTGTCCCCTTGTAGGACAATTGTACACCCGCTCGCGCATCGACTTACGCTGCTGGCAGGGAGATTATCAGGTTGTCGTTTGTGAACAAAGGCATGACCAACGAGGCAATTGAAATACTAATGGAAGGATTAGCGGTTAACACCATCAAGCAATACAGCTCTGTGCTAGTAGAATGGGTTGAATTTTGCAAAAATAAAAATGTTTGCCATTTTTCGGCTCCTGTGCCGACAATTATTGAATTTTTAACGGCGAAATTTAACGCTGGTGCTAAATATGGCACTCTTAATTCTGCGAGATCAGCTATTTCGCGCATTCTAGAGTACAGCATCACTGAAAACGAACTCCTATCGGTTTTCTTCCGAGGTGTAAATCGTATGCGTCCAACTAATCCAAAATATAAGCGCATGTGGGATGTCAGTGTTGTTTTAAATTTTCTATCCAATTGGTACCCATTAGAACAGCTGACTCTGGACCAATTGGGTAAGAAACTTGTAACGTTACTTGCTATAGTAACAGCTCAAAGAGCTCAGACTTTAGCATCAATTGAGCTTGATAATATTTTTGAAAGGAACGGGAAAATAGAAATCGAAATTCCGGCTCACATTAAAACTTCTGCCGCTGGTCGAGCGCAACCATTACTACAATTTCCTTTCTTTAGTGACGATTTGAGTCTTTGTGTTGCCACTACGCTTATATTTTATATAGAAAAAACTAAAGTTGTTAGATCTAGTCAAGATAAAAAATTATTTATATCAAGTAAAAAACCGTTCAGTCCAGTAACGTCTCAGACTTTGAGTCATTGGATTAAGAAAGTATTGGGAGATAGCGGAATTGACATTTCTATTTTTTCGGGTCATTCGACAAGACATGCTGCAACTAGTAAAGCTTATAGCAAAGGTGTGGACTTGAGTGTTATCCATTCCTCTGCAGGATGGACTAAAAAATCATCAGCGTTCGCGAAATTTTATAATAAGCCAATTATGAACAATGATGATGAGTTTATTCGTGCAGTATTGTCTTAAATACTTTGTTTAACAGTTTATAATTTATTGTCTTTAATGAAATAAAGTTATATTTTTTCCTGTTGGTTATGGAAAATTTTAATTTTCATTTAAATGTAATCGCCATTGATACTCTAAACAACTACTTTATAATTACTCAAACAAGGATTGTAGTATAATTATAAATCAAACGAACTTACCTTAAGTGAAGTTCGATTATAATTATATGAAATCCTTGTTTGAGTAATTATCACCCACCCTATGAAAAAAAAAAAAAGAAAAGTTTTAATCCCTTCCCTACATAGCGATTACAATCTCTCTAAAAAATGAGCGGTATCATCACGAAGTTATGAGAAGATCGTTTTTTGTTCTGAATATTCGTGGTGAAGTCCATCGAAAGGCGATGTACTACTTTATAATTACTCAAACAAGGATTTCATATAATTATAATCGAACTTCACTTAAGGTAAGTTCGTTTGATTTATAATTCTGCTGCCGAAGCAACCGCCTCGCGTTATACGTACTTATTTGAATACAAGCTTTATAAGCGGTGTATATAGGATGCGACGTATCAGCAAAATTACAATACAATGAGGATTTTGGAAGGTTCGCGCGCGCGAGAGAGAGAGAGAGAGAGAGAGAGCCTCTTTTGATTTGAGGAACGAATGCGGCGCAAGTGCGCAAACTGCCGCCTGCAGCCGAGGCGCATATATAGCGAAGCGGCATAATGCGTCGATCGCAAAATACACACGTGTGGCTCGAGCTTATGCTTGATTTGTATTTTTCGCGACCTTCGAAGAATTTAGAAGGATTGCGCTAATCGATCTTTTGAATGTAAAAAGTGGAAAAGTCGCCTTTGCGTTATTGGTCAATAGTACGACCATTATCGTGATAATTTGGCGTTGCCGAATATCCGCGAGTGCCAAGATTATCGTTTTACTCGCACTTAACGCGCCGTGGATAAGATAATTAATAAAATTACGATTGCACGGTTACGGCGAAAAGTTGAAATTCGACGGTGGCCGCATTAGCTCGGCACGTTGCACAATCACATATACGTACGCGGTGAATCGCACGACGGGAAATTCTGACACTCGTAATAACGTAATAATGATTTTATGCTTAAAAAAAAAAGAAATAATAATAATGATAATGAAGAGCCGACACGAGTGATCTTACCACTATATACAATAATATAATCGCGAGTGTGCAGTAACAAAGGAAACGCATATATATGTGCACTTACACGCACGCATACGTGTGTACCGTACGTATACACGAGTACACACGTATTTGCACGCCGTGGCGACTGCCGGTCAAAAGAGGCCTTGTGCCCGAAAGTATATATTCATATACAGCGACGACGAGGCAGAGCGCAGCTTTTCTCAAACTCGAGTGAAACATCGAATCGAAGTTGCTTCACCCGGTACGAAACGAGTTAGAGGGAATTGCGAGGCGAGAATATCATCGCGAAAATCGAGATGTAATTTTGCACGTACTGGTCTGTAAAAGTTACGGGTTAATTTAGCTTTTTTTTTATCATTCGCTTGCTTGCCTTTAATCACATTTTGGATATAACGAAACTTAAAGTGTTTGAAATATTTCGCATACGCTATGTCTTTGTATGGCACAATTGAATAACGCATCGAACGATGAAAAATATCATTATATTTTGAGTAAATCTAAAAAAAAAACTTACTTTACAACAATTAAAATCATAAATATATAAATTACTAGAATGAATCCGATGAATAGGTGAAGTAGTTCGCTGAGCGACTGTAGATGTCGCACGGCCAATTTCCACAAGCGGCAAATCCATCTTTGGTAGATATATAAGAAGGAACGATTAGTTAGGATTTGATTTGGATTAGCAATTGCGTCTCGAAAATAGAATTACCCGAACAAATATTCAATGGAGATATTATCATTGCTGTTCGATCGGCCAAAAAGTGTTCAACGATTCATAATTCACACATATTATAATCTCGAGGGTGCGTATTATTACAATACAAGTGTATACACCTCGCCCGATGTCGGCTTTTTCAATCTCTCTCTTTCTCCGCGGGTGCACTCATTTTTCTGCTGCCCCGCTATTTAGCACCTACTTACCATACAACGTTATCTCTCGACTCGCCGCGCGAGACAAATTCTCTTCTGCGGATTCGGCGATATAATATGTATGCGCCTTGCGACCGAGGCAATTTCGCCACGAACAAATCTATCTTGATGCATTGCGTATGATATCGCGAGATTTTGATAGCTATATATTCAGAAGC